ATAGAGTTGGGGAGCTTACCTGGCCCGCTAAGATCCCACCCCCAGAGACCTTTTGGGACATCTTAGATATTTGTGATCTTTGGGTCCCGAGTACCTTCGGATGCTGCCACAGTGGTCCTTCAGCAACCTGGCATGCCCCAGGTGGCACCAGTACTTCGCGTCTAGATTACGTTGCACTGCCATCCGCCTGGCAGGTTCCGCGGGCAGGCAGCCATGTTGTCCCTGAACTAGACTGGGGACAGAGCAACCCCGACCACTTCGCTCTGAGTGTGCAAGTCACTGCTGACATGCGCTTCGGTCAGCCTCGGTGCGGGCGTCAGCCGAGACTCGATCTGCGGGCCATGAGAACACCCGAAGGCCGGCAGAAAATCCGAGACATCTGTGCTTTGATACCAGACCAGCCCTGGGAACTTGATGTTCATAGACATGCTGCTGGACTTGAGGCACATTTTGGTAAGTATCTCCCAGTTGTGTTTCCCCCTCCCAAGGCTCGCCAAATAAAATCATACTTGCAATCTGACACATGGCAGGTACGTAACCAAAGAGCATGGCTCCGCAAGAGGGTCCACAAGGGAGCCCATCTTGGTCGTTGCTTCACGACACGGGTTTCCTTCCTCACTTGGAAATTCGGGATTCCATGCCGACATGCCTCTTGCCGCCTCCTTGCAGGATTTCTCCGTTGCCTCAAGGAACTTCCCACCTATGTCGCAACTTTGCGGGCGTCCAGTGCTCAGCTCCGCACCATGATACGACGGGACGTCAAGGCCCATCTGCATGAGACCGCTGTACGAGCCACTACTGACTCAACCCGAGACACCGTACAACGGGTGCGTGACCTCACTGGAGGCCCGCGGCGCAAACAAAGGGGCAGTGTCCCGTTGCCGTCTGTTGAGGTCGCGCCAGGGAGACTTGCCTGTACCCATGACGAGGCCAAACAGCAATGGATCAAGCACTTCTCATCGATCGAGGATGGTCACATTTGTGACCCCGTGTCATTTATCCATTCCTGCTTTGAAAGGCAGGGTTCAAGAGACTTGTCCGGACATTCCATCACTGTCGCAGACATCCCGGGACTCACCGAGGTTGAGGCTGTCATGAGGACAGCTAGCACGGACCGGGCATATGGTCTGGACGGCATTCCTGGCGAAGTCGTGAAATTCGGTGCGCCTCAACTATCCAAGGCAGTATATGCCCTCCTTCTCAAGTCTGCATTCAGGCTTGACGAACCGGTACAACATAAAGGGGGTACTTTGTACTGTATCTGGAAGGGAAAGGGCCCGAAACAACTCTGCGAATCCTATAGAGGGATATTAGTCTCTTCGGTTTTGGGTAAAACCCTGCATAAGCTTGTTCGTGGCAGATGCACTCCAGCCTTGACCTCATGCACCGTACCACTGCAAGTCGGAGGACTTCCCCGTTTCCGGTCACTATACCGGCACAGGCAGCCAGGCTATTCCAATCCGCATGTGGTTCTCAGCGTAGACCACACGCTCTGGTCTTTCTCGATCTCCAGGAGGCCTTCTACAGAATCATCAGGCCATTGATCTCTGCAAAACCTCTATCTGACGAAAGAGTTGCCCAGGTTTGTGCTGCTGTCCAGCTGCCACCTGGCACCATGCATGACCTCCGCACCTTTTTGGGCGGCGACTCCCTGATTGCCACCGCCGGATCCAGCCCTGGGCCTCCGGGGCGGTAGACGAGTCCCTGTATGACACCTGGTTCCGACTTCCCAATGAACCTGACCTCGTCACCACCCAGACTGGGAGCCGACCTGGGGATTCGCTGTCGGACTTGGTATTCTCTTTCCTTTCTTCCAGGGTCTTGAAACAGGTCCGTACTTCCTTGAACGAGCTTGGGATACTTGCCGAGGTCCCATACGCACCTGCCATGGAGGGTAACATACACCCTCTGCCCTGCCGACCACACTCCACCCTCCCCATTTCGGACGCCACCTGGATGGACGATCTTTCCATGTTCATCGTCAGCGATAATGCGGAGACTCTGGTCGGGTACTTGACCAAGGGTACTTCGACACTCCTTGACGCCTGTCTGCAGAGAGCCCTGTTACCGAACTTGTCCCGGGGCAAGACCGAAGCAATGGTGCAGCTTCATGGCAAGGGCACTCGACGGGCCAGACAGACCATTTTTGGAGACCACAATGGGGCCATCCCATTGGAATGTCGATTTTGGCCTGATGCCCGCCTTAGGATCGTACCTGCCTATAAGCACCTAGGCGGCTACCTCCAACATGGGGGCGGGCTGCAGCAAGAGCTTTCATTCAGAACAGCTCAGGCCTGGGATGCTTTCAATCGCCGTAAGAAGAAAGTGTTCAAATCCCCCTTAGTGTCTATACCGGACAAGGCCACTTTGTTCCAAAGCCTGGTGTCCACTGTTCTGTTTCATGGAGCAGGCACCTGGACTGGTGTAGATGACACACACCTACACAAGCTGGACGCTACCTTGCGTCAAATGGCCTGTCAGATGTTGGCACCGACTGTCAGTCTTCCCGAGGCATGGCACTTGGGGCTTTCTCAGGTTTTGGCTAAGGTTGGGTTGCCCAGGGCTTCCACTTACCTCCACCTTGCCCGCCTGAGACACCTACTTGCTTGTGTCCAACTGAATATCCCCGAGATTTGGGCCCTTGCACATTGGGAATGCAATTGGCTTGCCTCCGTTAGGGGTTCGGTTCATTGGCTTTGGGAACAGGTCGATGGAGGTCGCGATACTGCTAACTGGCACAAGGCCTGGGAGGCATGGCATGAGGAGTGCCAACAATACCCTGGCCGATGGAAGGCCCGCATGAGACGAGCCCTGAAGGCCGCCCTCCTCCGAGAAAGATGGCAGGCATGTGTCGAACAACATGCCGGCCTATTGACAGAACAGCTCACTATACAGGGCGCTGTCCTGCCTGCCGACCTTGTTCCAGACCACGGCACCACTGAGGTCTGTGCCATTTGCCGATCCGTCTTCAAGAATTTTCAGGCATGGTCGGTGCACGCCTTCAAAAGGCATGGCAGAGTACGGGAGGCTAGAAGTCTTGCTGCAGGGAACCAGTGCCCTGGTTGCCTTCGCCACTATGCCTCGAACATCAGGCTATGCAGACATTTACACCACTCTGCACATTGCCGCAAGTTTCTTACAGGCCAGCAGGACAGGGTGCACCCACAACCAGGGCAAGGGAGTAAGCACGCTCCCAAAGAGCACTTGCTTTGTACGCCGACCCTACAGGCGCTCGGGCCCCTACAGGGTTGTACTGAAGAGGAAGTTGAGTCTGAGCTCGAGCGACCTTCCGCCGAGGTCCTTGAATGTCTCTCATTGCTTGGGTACGACAGTCTTGACCTCGAATCCGATCCCGAACAAGCCTGGGAGCGAATCCGCGCTTCCTTCTCCTGTGTCTGCCTTCCCCTGAAGAGGCTCCGACTTACTGCTGAGGTCTGGCGGGACCAGGTTCGGCTCCATTTTGCCGGCCGAGGGCAGGGTACATCAGGGTCTCGCTTTCTTCTACGGGCAGCGGAGTGGATCCTCAATGCTGACTTTGCCGAGTGGTTGGCACCAGATCCGTCTTGCAGAGCCACCCAACAGCATACTTATCGGCAGGGCCTCATTTCCTTGTCCATCCTCGAGGTTCAATCGATTCATCTCCCTGACCTCTCGACATGGACTTCTGACCACGACATTATATTTGTCGGGTCTCCTCCTCGGGATTCCCCCATTGCCCGTCTGTGTGACACCTCCGTTTGTTATCCACATGCGGAATCGTTGTCGCGATTGTCAGAGGGGAAAGAGCTCGACTTCTTCTGCGAAGAGCCTGAGCAGTGTGGCTTTTGCCTGAGCCTCTACGGACTTCACCTGCCGTTTGCCTCGACTCAGACCCCTAGGTCGGCCTCCGACGATGGATTTCGGGCCTTGCAGTTCGCTTGCGACCTCATCCGATTTACTGTCCGACTCTGGACTCGGGGGACACGGGCTTGCCTCTTCCTTCCCGTACCGGCAGGGGACGACGTCCGATTACTCTCCAGAATCCCAGGCGTTCACTTTCACCAGGGCGATGATCGCGCCTCCCTTTGGGTTGGCCCGTCGACCTCGCCCTCCGATTTGTTTCACCTTCCCTAATTATTTGCAAGCCACAAGGGCCGCGTCGGACAGACTCAATGCCCGAAAGAGTGAAAAAAAGAGTGATGTCTGTATGTATGTATGTATGTATGTATGTATGTATGTGTGTATATGTATATATGCATTTATGTTTTCGTATGTGTGTATACATATGAAGATATACAGACATGTAGATAATGGTAGCCGGATAGGAAAATGGATAAACAGGCAGATGATAGACAGATCAGAGACAAATAGACAGACAGACAGATAGCCAGCTAGCTAGATAGATAGATGCATAGGTAGTGACTGTCCAGCGTTACGCGTGCTGCTCCGTCCCGAACATCCTAGATCCCCTATTTGCAGACAGCTTGAAGCACATGACGAAAGTGACTCAAAGTGTTGCCCTGATGAACCCATGGCTGTCGGCATGAAGACGAATGTTGCAATAAAGGGCTCAGGCAGTTTGCTCTTGAATTGGATATGCTTCGGTCACTTACAAACCTTTGAGGATCCTCTAAAAACAGTCCGTATAAACCTCATCAGTACAGCACCTCACACTTGAGTGAAGCCACAGTTCCTTCAGATCAAGTAGCACCCGTAGAAGAAACCGCCATGACAGGCACGCCGCTTCACCGTCATGCGAGCAAGCATGGGCCACTCGAAAAGGCAGGGCAGCAAACTTTATACTGGGGTTCAGTTGAGCACGCAAGCAGGCAGGCGAACATGGCAAAGCAGCAAAGAGGCCAACAAGCAAATGAGTCAGCAGGTGACTAAACGGGGTTAGCCATGTAAGGCAGTACGTGGAGCTAAGCCCAAAGTACGGTGAATGCGAGCGAGTGGGATGGAGTGCAGGGAAGTGGAGCGAAACTGCATCACTGACGGATATGTGATGTACATGATGTACATCAATGTTGCCGGCCTGGCATGGTGATAGCGTCGCATGGCATATGTCCTCCGTTTGGAGACCAAGAGATCCGTGCACTGTGTCGCAGACAGCCTCGCCAGTGCTTCATGTCGGTCTACAAGCAGAATCTCATGAAATGAAGGCATTGGCAACCAGATGCAGACGAGACTGACAGATTATTCCCATGATGCAAATTGAAGCTGCAAGCTGCACGGTACTGCGCCCATAGCAGACTTGCCTTTCAAGCGCAGAAGAGCTCTCACCATCGGCCATGCTCGCATCTGCGCCTCTCATCACAGTGTCCGGACACGGATATTTGAAGATAGGCTTCCAGCGCGCTGTCATAGTGTCAAATTGCTGCCACTATGCCACTGACTGCTGCCGAACTGCACAACTCCATGGCCACACAAGAGCAGGCATGTCAATCGTGCCTCGTGAGACGAGGTCATGCCAAAGTTTATTGAGCTCCTGCTGCGTCTCCTGCGTTCGGAGAGGCTTTGCGAGCGGAGTGCAAAGAGGTCTTGCTCCAAGTTGCAACCTGAGAGGTCGAGGACTCGTGACATCTCTGATTGCAACGTCTCTCCACGTTGAACGCAAAGAGAAGGCTGTCACAGCACTGCCCTCAAAGACATTCTTGTCGCTTGGGTGTTCCTCACTCACCGCTCGTGGGCTACAAGTTACAAGCGCATGGCTGTGCAATGTCCTGAATCTCGCGCGAAAGACTCTTGCTTCGCAGAGAGTAGCGTTGCGACTCCTGCGGCTCCGACGACAGCTTTGCAGTGTCATGGTGTTGCTGGCTCTGACTGCTCTGAGTTAGCGATGTTCATCGGCTATGGTTCCCGGTTCCGGGATCCCTCGTTTTCTGCTACCGCGATGACCTCTGGCCGCGCGGATGAATTGCTTGACGTTGGCCAACTAACATGGTAGCGAGCAACTGTCAACAGAGCCTACGAGCCCGTGACTGTGGGATGCCAGCAAGGCTTGCATTTATCTTGATGGGCATGGGAAGCAAAGCCGGCCGGCTTCGAGGCATGTGAGAGACAGGTGTATGACATCAAAATATAAAAGAGACCATGCCTGCCACAGGAGCTGGAGCGTTCCTTTGCAATGCAGCGGAGGAATGCGTGGCTTCCGCCGTCCACCAACAAGTGTTTGATTCCTTTGGACGGCCCAGGTTCACTACTTGGCCTTTTTGCTCTGATCTGGTGTTTCTGAAATCACACGTGCTGAGCAGGGAGGCGCAGGTGCCAAAGGCCGACGAGGGTGCCTACGATGGCAGGGCGAACAATAGGTCAACCCTTTCTTGGTTGAGCTTTCCACCACCAAGTGCAGGAGACTGCAAGCAAGGCACGTGCAAGGATGTGAAGTGCCGTCTCGCAGCCCCTGCCAATAGAGTTCACATCCGCGCCTTGCGAAGCGCAAAGTCTCAGCATGCTCCAGTCTCAAGACCGTTTGCGACACTCCTGCCAGGAGCAGCGAGTCCAGCTTGGCTGTCGCACCACGCAGGGGCCGACCGCTCAGCGCTGCGCGGCAAGTGGCCCTAGCCTGGCTCCGGTCATGAAGTCATAAGGATATATAAGGTGTACTGCTGTGTGTTCGGTTCGGCAGCTTCTGAAACCGAATGTCTTGATTGTCTTGTAAGTCTGCTAGCAACTTGCAACCGCAGCTTGGATCACGAGTCGAAGAACAACAAACATAATGAAAGCGCTGAGTGCTGCCCTGTTTTGAGCCAGCCCCGCCCAGGTCACGACAGCAGGCTCTGGCAGCCACACGTTCAGCCGAGAGCAGCAGGCCGCTAGGAGCTCGACGGTCTGCAGAGACACACGGCGTTGCGGCGACGGTGTAGGAGCACCCCATTTCTCTCAAGGGATTCCTCTACGAGTCTACAAAAAGGGTTTGTGGCCTCAAGCGAGATTGCGCCTGAGGCCTGGTGCGCAACTTTGTTAACTATGTGAAACTGCTGGATGTGCCGTGCGTATGCATGGATGTGTTTGTATGTCGTCGTAATAGCACGAATGCATACGCTCAAGCAGTTCGGCGCAATGGCAAACTCATTCAAGCGCGCTCGAAGGCACAACAAAGCAGCAACGCTCCGAATTTCGGCACGCAGCTAGAGTACGCAAAGGTCTTTGCAAACGGCCTGCTGCTCATGATTTCGACAACTTTCTGGAACCTACGACCTACTGGCCTGCAACATCATCAGGTTCTGTGGCATGAAAAAGTTTCGAGACTCTACTACGAAGTGACACGACTGTCCCAGAATAATCCAATGTTCGCCAGCAAAACACGGCCATGGGGCATGAGTTTTACCAGTCTTGTTCATGCCGCTGTGCAGACTCGAGATTGTTGTGCCTCCGGGGCGGCTCCAATCTGAAGCGCCAAATGCAGGGCAGGGGTCACCTGGCTCGAAGGCTCGAAACGCATCGAAACGCCTTTGTATGTTCATTTTCGGCACGCGACGCTCTGGCCGAGTTGCATCCGCTGAGGCTACAAGGAGCCTTTCTGCCTCGACCAAATCGCCCTCCGCGACCTGAGACGGAGCTTGGAGCCGCGCCGCTTGCTTAAACATCCTAAAGAACTTAAAGGCTCTTGTGGCAGCAATGGCCTCCAGTACCACAACGCGAAACACGGTCGCAGACAAAAAACACTAGCGAAAGAAGCAAGCAACTGCTACTGTGGACGGAAAACATCTTGCATCGCTTTTTTGACCGGACCCACACATTTGCCACATTCGATATAGTTTCGCCATCTCGCCCTAGCAAATAAGCCTCTCCCTGTCAAAAATCCTTGCAGCATTTAACCTGCAGTTTCCAATGCTTAGGTACAGTCGGTTCGATAGCTATGGCGAGAGAACATGCTTGGCAGGTGGCGGGAGATTTCGTCCAACGTAGCTGGCAAGCCGGACCAAGCTCTCAAAATTGAAGAGAAATGCATTTGCTAGGCACGCAAGTCGGCGCTTGGTTTCGAAGAAAAGAAAAGTCAAAAACGCGGAAGGGCTTCTTGCGCATTTCTGTCCTTTTCTTTTCGACGTGTTGCCTTCGCGATCTTCCGGGCCTTCTTGGGTGTCTGAACTTCTCGACTGTTGCACATGTGCACCTTTGCCGTCACTTCAACGTAGATGAAGCTACCATGCATCGCGGGAAGGTGCGAACTATGCGGCAGCAAACTGGAACACATCCTTCACATGGGCTTGCTTTCAGACCTTTTTTGTGTTGCATGTTTTGCCACCGGACCGGCCACCCCGGATCAACCCCAAGGCCCGTGAGCAAGGGCAAGGAGAGGGTCGATGCTTTGGTCGAGCTTCGCTTTGCCCGATTGTGCGCAACGAAAACGAACTTGCATCGCGTACAACAAGACAGAACTGCTCAGTGCACAGATCTCCCGATCCTGCTCGCTCAAAAATTCTTCAAAAGACCAGGTAGTTGCCCCAAGAACCACGATTATATGCCATGATACGTTCTTCGCAAAATCGTGCTACTGCAGAGAACCCCGCCGCCAAGGCCAGCCGCTCGCTCTCGCCATCTGAGAGCCGCAGTGCTGCAAGCCTTGGATCGACGTCCACTTCTGATGTTTTTTGGACTCTGGCCAGCATCAGACCCAGACCCAGAATGGAGCAATGGAATGTACTCCGGCAAAATTTGCAGACATGCTTGCAGGCTTCTGGGTGCCAGGCACATCACGCATGCTCGATCCACACGTAAAGTCGGAACCGAAGAACTCTCCAGACCTTGAGACCGAGTCAGAAGCACACCGTTCCCATCGATGCCCTCACTCTCAGCAAAGCTCGCGGGATGTTGTCGCAACCACTTCCACCCTCGCACTCTGATGTGCTGGAGACTCGGCTTCTGACGATGGGTCACGCGGATCCCACAACGAGCCGCCCCACCTGTGTCGATGTAAAGCCATCCCTATCGGGCTGAAGCATCCTACTCTGCGGCTCCGGCCACTGTTCCATGGAACGCCGCATATCCGGGCGAGCCTCCGAACCAGAGCACATGGCCACAAAGAAAACAAGCTCTAAAGTTGCCATTTATCCCCTGCCGCATCTCTGATTGAAGCCAAGGTGCCGCCAGGCATGGATCATTCCGCATGACTGCTGGAAGCATGGAGGCCTGCCATCTTTTCGTTGCAATTTGATAATATCATGTTTGCATGCTTCCTACTGTAAGAAATTGGTTGTGCTTGGGGGTGCAGGCCGTTTCGACTGCAAACGTGTTGGGCTTCTTGTGCAGGTTGCATGTTGCGCTGTTGTTGTCGTCAGGGCGGCGTTGCGGCGTTGCACGGGTGCGAAGGCCATGTCCTGCTTCTGCAGATGAAAAGCGCTACGTGTACGCACTTTCCGACGTCGTGTCCCAGGGGCTTTCAGAAATGCCTTGATCTTGGAGCCAATTCCTACACCATCAACGAAGCCTATAGCTCAAGCTCATCATGACCTCGATCATCTACTGACAAGACTCACAAGCTTTCGTCGATGCTTGATAGCAGTTTATGGCGTGCTTTCATCCAGAACAGTCCCCAGCAACATCTGCATCTGCTGGGATTTGGCCTTGTCAACTTTGTACATGGCTTCCCGGCTCTGGTGCTATTTCAGCTTGATGCTTCTCCTGAGTCTTGCTTCTTGATGTGGTTCGTGCAAACAAAGATCTCGACATAACAAAACTGAGAACAGGCAGTTTTTCAAGCCAGTCGCTGCGGAGAAACTGCAAACTCAAATGCTGTGCAACCTCAGGCATTGTCGGAGCTGCAGCACCAAAGCCTGATTCGCACAGAGCTTCCTTATATTTTCTTGGTGCATCACTCACCCAGCACCGAATCGGCTGCTGAAAGCCTTTGCCCCCTGTGACACGCCTTGACAGTAATGACGGATGGATACAAAGTCCCATGCCGTCCTCACCAGCTACCTCGATGGACACAAACGAACCTCGAGTGAATGTCGCTCGGACACGTCCCAGAAAACATAACGTCAGCTACGCTTGGATTCCCTCTCATCCAGCGCTTCAGCTGACCATGGGCTTTGCTGTACATCGCAGCACCCTGTACAAGATGGGCTACGACACACTGTCAAGCTGCCGGTGGCTGACTGAAAATCGAGACACAACCGAAGTACATCTCAAGTTACCGCACCAGCAACAAAACAGAGGAGCCGCTAGTCAAACCAGAGCAAAGCCTTCGGCTTCCTCTCGCCCTCGCAAGACAGCAAGCAAGTCGCCACTTCTTGCCTAGCACGACGGTGCAGAAGCACTTTCCGGAACCGGTCTGCAGTGCCTCGGCCTCGGCAACAGGCAGCGGGCCCCCGCCGCCACAACGTCGCTCAACGAAGGCAGCCGGACCACGGCCTCTGACTCAAGCACGGACTCTGGAAAATTGGAAGTATGAAGTGACCCCTTAGCTCGGCACTGACTGGGACGGGTACATCTCCAGCTCCTCCAGGTCCTGCCAAGCTAGCGTTTTTTGTCCACTGATGTCCACTGCCATCCACGCATCAGCACAAATCCGGCACATCGGACAGGAGATTCAGATCCTGCTTGACCGAAAGCCGCCAGCTCCCGCCTTCACAACATGAATGCCCATCTTATGCATGACGTTTGCAGCTGAGCGGACCAGCGTGTTTGACTGCGGGAGCGGGACGATCCAGCTTTGCACAAGTTAAACCGAAGTTTGCATGCTTTTCCATGCATTTTTTTGCAAAAAGTGCAAGTTTAGAACTACGAAAACACCGAAGCGGCACTGCAGCATTCTCTCGCCATTTCTACTGAAATAGTGAGCAGCAAGTTTCGAAGGTTTCTTCATGTTTCTTCATGCATGCAACACGAGCTCTACGGGCACAAATGTACTACACACGTTGTGCAAGCTTTAGACACGCAGCGATCCTAAATGCTCGAAGCAACCGACTGGCCAAAACCTACTATCAAGCATTGCACAACATTCTTCTCCCTCCCATCATCCAAACGGCCTCGGTGCGGTGGGCCCCGCAAAAGACTGTCCTCCGTACCTTCGGCTGCTGCAACAGAAATCCCTTGAACCTTCCCTCGGCCATCCTCCGTCCAACCTTGTGGCACTTGGAGATGCTGCACGCGAGCCTGAACTCACCTGTGCGCGGCAACATGACACACAACGACCCGTCTCAATCTCGCTGTTGGATCTCCTCGAAGCCTGGTTGTCTAGCGATTCCCGTGATACTGCACGGCGTGCGGCTGAAAGCTGTGCCCTCTCTGCCAGCGGACGCATGCAAATGGGCCTGCGGAGGAGGTGGGGCCCAAGCCTCGGCACTTGACGACAGCAAAGTGATCCCCATATCGAATGATGTTAGCTACATTCCTCTCTGAGTCTTGCCTCCGGAAACTCGACCCACGGTGGCGGTGGCGGCGGCGGCAGCGGTACCTTGCCAAGATCGAAGGCTGGAAATTCAGCTGCCTCCCGTAGATTTAAGGTTTAAAGTATACTGTTGCACCTGCGCGCTGGCCCAGTGCTGCTGGAAGGCATGGTGCTCACGGAAATCTGCAAAGGCGACTCACGCACAGGAAACTTTGCCGTAGCTTGAAGACAGCTTGCCTGGCCCAGTACCTGCAACAGCAGCTGCTGCTGCAGCACTTGCAGGTGATGGCAAAGGCACCCAGAAGTGCGCGCCTGCACCGGGGAAGTTCAGTTAACTGTGGACTGCAGAACCCCTGCGATGCCTGAACCCGACAGATGCTGTGGTACCCGTCTGTCCGGAGACAAGGCTCTACCGGAGGGGGAGGTAGGCTGGTTCCATCCACCTTCACACAGTCGCAAAAGTGCGGGAGGACACTCTGCCACGTGTGCGCATGCGTACCAAGTCTGCCATATAATGCATGTTGCAAGTTCTCATGGCTGGCTCGGACGGTGGCATCGAGTGTTCGCCGCCGCAGCAGTAAACCTCATATCAAGCTTCCGGTTCCTGTGACCATGCAATCCAGCCTCCTAACTGGCACCGTAGCTGCTTGGGCTGAGATGCCGCTCTGAGCAGAAGTAGCACACATAACCCAGCTCCTCCTCGGCTCCAGGGATGTCTGCTCTGGTCTTGTACATGAACCTAGTAGTGATTCACACACACTCGCTTGCTGCCCGGGTCTCCGCATAGCGGTCCAGCATGGATCCAAGGTGCCTGGCTGACTCGAGCAACACAAAAACTGTGGTTGCCGCTTCACACTTCTCTCAATATGAAAAAAGTATCCTGCTTGGCAAACCGCCAAAGGCGACCGGATCCACTCTGCTCCCTCGGCGGTCTCTGCAGCCAGCTGTCTTCTCTGCCTGAAGTTTGACGAGAGTGGCTGCGTCCCGCTCAGTGCGCAGTGTCTTCAGTATGCATGAAAAATCATCTAATCGGCAGACGATCCATAAATTTCCACCTCCGAAGATCCAGTGAATATGCTGGTGATCTTTTTCTCCATCGGCAATAACTCTTGGAGAAACCGAGCGCATGCCATCATCCACTCTGTACATCGGAAGTACTTCCAGGTCATCGAAATGTTTGCTCGAGCACCGTCGCCATTGCATTCTATCTTCACTGGGTGAAGAAGACATAGATACATCGCAAACTATGGCAAACTGTCTTTCAGCCTGATGCGCTGCCAGCTTCTGCATAGTACTGCAGGATCTGCTCTAACTCAAGGCGTGCGCTTGCAACGCTTGCCGGGATTCCCGTCAGATTCACCTTCAGCTCCTCGCCGACGTGAAACACTTCTGCCTGGACGCCGAACCAGCCACTCAGCTGGACCAGGTCCTGAGGTTCGCATGGTTTGGGGGTGTGGGGCATGCTTACCACGCTCTTGCTACTCTATTCACTTCCCGCTCTGGCATCGGAGCCCAGATATTTGTTGTGCCATGACCACTCTTCAGAAGCATCACGAGCAGCACGCATACCCCCAGCAACATGAATGTCACACTTTGATTCTGAACTTGTGTTGAGCAAAGCCAAGAGCCTCAACAGCAAGCTGTATACAAAAGGAAGTCAGTCGGTGGAACAGCAAACTATATACAAAGCAAGTCAGTCGATGGAAAGCTGGGGTACGGACGCTTTGAAGATTGGCCAGCGCATCCGGTGGTAGTGGAACTGATGCAGTTTGGGCATGTACAGGCTTGTACAGATCTGCACAGGCTACTCTAGCAATCTCGATCAGCTGATTCGCCTCGGCTCCGGCCGGAGCGGTCAGAGGTTCTCACAGGGACCCTCGGTTTGCCCTCATCCCCTTTCCACAACCCACAGCCCTTCATAAAGGCTCACCCTATTGATTCGTTAACCCGTCCCAGGGCACGGCTGTGCGAGTTGCATTTCCAGTGTCTTTAGGCAGTTCGACACAACTCCCTCTCGCGAAACCTCCCAAGTCGCTTAAAGGGCCCCCTTCAAACCCAATAACCCCAAAAATGCAAGAATCCTATAAACCCTAGTTCAGCTTTCGCCCAAGTCTTGTCGTGCCAACCCCGAATCCGTCTGGAATCCCCACCGACAGTGTATACGCTCATGTCTGCAACCTCGGCAACGTCCATGTTCCCGGTGCAGAGCAACAGCAACCCAAAGACAGCCGACAGCGAACAGCACTCCTTATCGCTTTTGGGCGGTGCCTTTGAACCCTCGCAAAGTACTCACCACAGTCAACGGGTCACACTCGAAAGTTGTAGCAGCAGCAACGACAAAGCAAGTAGTAGCAAAAATAATAATGATAATAATGATAATAATGATAATAATAACAATAATACTAATAATAACAATAATAGTAATCACAATAATAATAATAAGGTTAGTAGTAGTAGTAGTAGTAGTAGTAGTAGTAGTAGGTGGTGGTGGTGGTGGCGGCGGCAACCAGGAAAACCTGCAAGGGAGCGAGGGGAGGAGAGAGGGGAGAGAGGGAGGGAGGGAAGAGGTGAGAGGGGAGAGGGGACAAGTGGAGACAAGGAACGGGGGAGAGGAGAAAGAAGGGAGAGAGGGGAAGGAGCGAAAGAAACGGCAAAGTGGCCGCGCCGAGGACACAAGAGGCACGCAGCAAGATGTGGCAAAAGCGCGGCATCTCGTAACTTGAAGATGGGGAAACATACCACAGACCACGCCGAAGACAAAGCAGCAAGGCAGCAGTAGTGGCCCATAGCGCGAAAAGGCGCGGCCCGATGGAGAATACAGGTACAGAACGCAGCACCACGGGCCCGTAGCACACCGAGGAGCGGCCCGAACAGCAGCGAGAGATACGAGTAACGGCCAGAAGCCACGCTGAGGACACAGGACGAACGCAGCTGCCCCATAGCGCATAAAGGCGCGGCCCGAAGAAGGAGGAAGAGTTACACGAGTAAGGCCGCGCCGAGGACAAAGCAAAGGGGAAGCACGACAGTCCAAAAGCGCACAGAGAGGGCAAAGGAGCGAGAGAAAGGAGAAAAGGCCAAAGGCCATGCCGAGAAAACAGCAGAAACACACCACGACGGGTGGAGAGACCGTGCAAGGTCACGCCGAGGACAGAGCAGAAAAAAAAGCGGCAGAGGCGCGGCGTGAGTATAAGGAGCGAGAGATAGGAGTAACGGCCAAAAGCCAAGCTGATAGATGTGCGTGATGAGGAGCAGCAGCTTCCAAGTTCGTTCTCTTTCGTGATGCGGGCCTCTTTGGACGAAGGTCATGCTTTCGAGTATGGAGGCGGGCTCTCCCTTTGCTCCGCCATGTTGGCAGCGCTCTTTCTTTGAGGTGGCAGGCTGTTCAGTGGCAAGCCCGAACGAGCGCTGAAGTGCACCGAATTTGTGAGCGCGGTAGTCCCCAAATACAGCGTTTTCATGTCCAGTGCAATAGCGGCTTGCTGTTGAAGGGTACAGATCTTGAAAGTCAGCTCCCGCTCATCTTTCCTTTATGTTCTTATGTTCAATCGTGATTCTTGGGGCTGTCGGCCCGGTCACAATGAGCACGGTTGGTGCTGACGGCACGGTGCTCAACTCTCTGTTCACTGTCTGCATACTATACTGTCCTCACACTATACTGTCCATAATTGCCTGCTCACTTCCAGGATCTCTCCAGTTTTAGCTGTGGAGTGTTTGTTTTAATTATTCTTTCGGGCCTTAGCGCGCTCCTTCAAGGAGCCAGTAAGAACGGTACTGCCGGCTTCTACACTACGTCGCTCTTGAGCGGTTGTGCACGCAAAGCAAGAGTAAGAGTAGTAGTGGCAGCAGAAGTAGTAGTAGTAGTAGTAGTAGTAGTAGTATAGTAGCAGCAGCAGCAGTAGTAGTCGTCGTCGTCGTCGTGGTGGTGGTGGTGGTGGTACTACTAGTAGTAGTAACGGCAACAGTAGTGGTAGCAGTACTAGTAGTAGTAGTAGTAGCAGCAGTAGTAGTAGTCGTAGTCGTCGTCGTCGCCGTCGTCGTCGTAGCAGTAGTAGTACTAGTACTAGTAAGTACTAGTACTACTACAGTGTGCCGGGGATTTACAACAAATATTTGAGCAAGATTGCCAAGCAATTATTTGAGCAAGATTGCCAAGCAATCTTGCTATCTTGGTCCCGCCGACTAGTTTACCTTCTAGACCAAGATTGGCAAGCAGTCTTGCAATCTTGGTATCCAAAAGGTAAACTAATCGGCGGGCAAGTGGCACAAGTGGGACAAGTGGGGCAAAATGACCAAGATTGCTTGGCAATCTTGCTCCCCCCCGGCTGACCAGGATTGCCAAGATCCCGGAACAATGTACTAGTACTAATACTAATGCATGTACTCGTAGTAGCAGCTGCTGCTGCCCGGAACAATGTACTAGTACTAATACTAATGCTTGTATTCGTAGCAGCAGCAACAGCAGCAGCAGCAGGAGGAGTAGTAGTAGTAGTAGCAGCAGTACTACTACTACNNCTGTAAATACCAGCATTTCCGACCACAAAAAATAAGAGGTCTGGGCGTCGCACCGGGGGGGACACCCTCCTACTACTACTACTACTACTACTCCTGCTGCTGCTGCTGCTGCTGCTGCTACTACTACTACTACTGCGACCTTTACTACTACTACTACTACTACTACTACTGCGACTGCGACTGCGACTCCGACTACGACTACGACTACGACTACGACTACTACTACTACTACTACTACTACTAGTACTGCGACCTTTGCTGCTGCTCCTCCTGCTACTGCTGCTGCGTGAGGAGACTGGCCGACAGCAACGAAGAAGCCATGAATGAGCTCAGAGACGTCTTGCAGGTTCCCCGTAATTACCTGAACATGTTTGGAGGACTTTGTGCCATTGGCAGCTGTCCTGTGACGCCACAGGATCATCGCGAAGCAGATCCTACTTCTGAGGTTCTGGTCCAGCATGCATCTTCTGGAACTCAGCCCAGCCACTGCAACTGCAGGTTGCTGTATCTCGCCTTAGAGAAACATGTGCCGTGCAGGCCCGCTCTGTTCGCATGATGATGGTCCAGCAACATCTGTAGTGTTCGGAGTGAGATGCAGAGTGCAATCGTTGTCCATCTTGCGACAGCTGTGGCCCTTGCCAGCCAGCTTGGAAGACAACTGTTGCTGTGGCTGGCAAGCCTTTGTCGGAGCAGTCTGAAAGACACAGCATTCTAGCGCAGGCAGGCAGTATGCCCTGCATATGCAAAATGATCTTGCAAGGCGAACCAGGGATGTCGTGCGTTTGCCTTCGAATGCGAGGATCAGCAGCTGCGTCGACTCGAGGCACTGTTGGATCCCAGCACGCAGCGAGAGGAGGAAAGTGAGTCGTGAGCATGCGGAGAAGTGCAGCTTCAAAACGAGAAACAGTACCGCGCAGGAGCTGTGTGGACTCATGGTTCGAGTCGAGGGGTCCGTACCTGACACTGCTGAGCAAGGCTGAGCAACATATAGTCCACAGCCCCAGGCTGGAGCACAGACTCGAGCTGATCGACGAAGAGGCTGTTTCGGAGAAGGCCGCCCGAGACGACAACAGGGGCCGTTGTTTTGAAGTAAGTTTCCGTTTTGGTTTCTCCGAGATCATCCTTGGCACTCAGCAAGCAGGCCAGCACGCCAGCCAGACAACAAGCAGGCCAGTGAGCAAGACAATACGTCAGAAAGCAAGCCAGTTAGCAAGTAAGCCAGTAAGCTAGCCTTTGTGCAATCCAGCCAAGATGCAAGTCAACAAGAAAGCAAGAAGGCAAGCAAGAAAGCAATCAAGCAAGCACGTGAGCAACTACTACGCTACTATTGATGAGGACTCCTGCTGCTGTCAGTACCACTACTAACTACTACTGCCTGCTGCTACTGCTGCTGCTGC